ACGGGACGAATTAATTTTTAAAATGGACCCACTTAAAATGGGTGCATCTTCTCTGCCACTGCATTATGCAATAAAGAAAATAATGACAACATAAATAAAAAAGATAAAAAAATAAAATAAATGTTTAAGTTATTTGATTTAAAAAAAAATAGAGAAGAAATTGAATGAAAAGAATATCGTTTGGTTGTTTCATTTGAACGGAAAGTTGAGAAATTAAACAATATTGCATGTCAGGCGGTTCACAATTATCACACGGAAAAAAAAAATTGATTATAACAAAATACATAATCAATTATTAAATTAACCTAATTAATATTTTTTAATTTTTTTTTGGTGTTGATATATTTTTGAAAGGACCACCACATGATAATCCTTCAAAAATTTTCAGATAATTTCCTAATATTTTTGAATTTGAGGCTTAAATGTATAATTGTGTTGAATATTTATAATAATTTTATCTGATTCAAACAAAATTTTCTGTTAGTAAAGGAAACCTATGAAATGTGATCTATAAAAAAAATACAATTTTTAACACATTTACAATTATTAAAACTTAATAAATAATATGCTATTAATTAAAAAAATAATCTATAGTTAAAAAGCGCTACATATTTTTAAAAAATGCAATCGATTATGAATACTGTTCTATTGATTATAAAAAATGGCAATATATTAATTTGGGGTTAGTACAGGAAAATAATACTTTTGACGAAATTTCCATTATTTGGTTGGGGTGGAATTTTTCTCTCCCCTTATTTCTTTTGTATCAAAACAACATGAAATATTATTTATCATTTTCATTTTCCACTCCCTTTTATTAAACAAAGCATACATTTTTTATATTCCAAACAAAAGAAAGAATGCGAAATTACGTGAAATTTTCTTTCGAATGTTCTTTTGTCTTTCGTATTTTGATGATTTAATGAAATTCAATAAGTATTTTGATTCATTCTAAAAATTGTTTCCTTTGATAAAAAGAAAGGCACACATCACGATAGGACCTATTTGTTAAGTGATTTGAACTTAAAGTGTGTCTCTTTCTTTTTTTTCACAAGTATGTACGGGTGCTCATGACCCATTTTGATTTATCGACTTACTAAGCTTAGAAATTTGTTTTGATGAATTCTGTGAAAATTTTGGGTCATATTTTCAATAGTTTTTCCAAAATTTAATATTCTTTTAAAAGTTTACATTGACATATAATTTATTAATTTAATAGATGATGTTTTACATAAAATATTATTAATTTTTTATTCATATAATTTATTTTAAAATATATATTGTAAAAATATACTTAATTAGAGTGATATGTGATATATTTTTTAAATTTATCTAGGAGATAGGAAATTTGTTTTGAGGTTATATGTCCAAACTTCATTATAATTATGTTTTG